TTTGGGGGGGGGGGGCGGGGGGGAGGGAATGTCAATTTGCAAAGGATATTTATTTCAGATTCCATCCCATCTACCTGCTTGAAGAGCCCAGGAAGGCCTTCCCATAGGTCCCGGAACAGCAGCCCTTCTGGGAGCCCTGGCCTCTCTGGGCGGAATTAGCAATGCAAAGAACGGGTGGCCCTCGGTCCCTCGCAGGGACCTGCTGGGATGCTCTGCTCCAAAGCCGATGTCATATATCATTCGAGGGGAAACCATTAAGTAGATTTATTGAAAGAACGTTTCTTCGGCACAGGGAGATCTTTTTGATGAAAGATGGGACTCATTATTCTCTACAGGACACAGATTGACTTATCTCCTTTATCAATTACAGTGTCTGCTTTCAGCGTCTCTCCATCAGCACGGGGCTTTGTAGTCCCTTCCCAGTGCTGAGGCCAATGTGTCTGAAGAAAAAGGTTTGTGTTTTACATTTTAATTGGAAATATAATATTGCACTTTGGAACTCTGACCCTCCCTTTCCAGGACAACGTGCCAAAGATCAATGGGGAGACACCACCAGGCAGGCTGGGACAAAGATGTCCCTCCCCTTTCCTGGGGTGACCTCAATGAGTTGTCCTGGTCCTTCTCCCCAGCACACATTCTCAACAGTGGGGTTTTTTGGGGAGGGGGGAGAGGGGGGAGGTTGACAGCTTCGACCAATTTCCTGCACCATAAAATAAACATAGATTAACGAGAAACTTAAATTAGTATAGAGGTTTTCAGGACCTTGGAAATGTGGTCCAGACCAATTGATATGTATTTAAATTCTACTGCGGGGGAGTTGCCACTGCACCTGTCCACAGTAGGCCCTGTGCTTTTTAATTTCCAAAAGCCACTTGTTATCATGTGGCCAAGAATGATAAAAGGCACACACAGAACTGAGCAGTCCCCTAATGGCAAAACCATATGTGAATTTGTCTCTTGAGTTCCCCTCAACCCACCCCATCATGATGCAGGTACTTGATCCATGTATAAATGATACATTGAATAAATGGACAAATGAACCATCTATCAAAGGGATAGATCAACCTGCGGAAGAAATAAATTTTTAAGTCTCACTGCTTACGTGACACAGAGATAGCCACTCATGATGATGTATGGCATTACTGTTGTACCTTTAACCCCAGGGAGTCTGTAGCATTTCTTAATCAAAAACATGACAAGCCCCCAAAAAAACTAATTTCAGAGGACGCTGGACCCCTGCAGGCCCACCATCCTGCCCCCCGTCTTCCCATTCCTGCATTTATGTCCCTTCCCTCGGCAGCAGATCTGATGCCAGTCCCCACCCCCGGATACATTCCTGTATTTCCACAATCCCAGACGCATGTCCTCATGAGGAGGGATAAGATTGGGTTCCTAGACTTGGTCAAACCCAACTGCTCGTTTCTGGCAGATGCCCCCCCCGAGTTCCATCTTACCACGACCCATTTAAAACGTACCTCGCTGGGGAAGCCTTCCTCTTATGTCCTAACCTCTGAACTAAAAGCTCTCCTGACTGAATCCCCAGCACACTCTGATGTATGCTGGGAATGCAGAAAACAAATAAACAAATGAAACAACTTCACCCTAAAGAACCCACATTCTCGCTAGAGGGAAAGACAGACAAGGAAGTGGGCGTGGAGAATGGGGCATTCTGAGCTCAGAACCACTGCATCGCAGCTTGTTCCCCTGCTGGTCTCGCTGTTGCTACTATTTGTGCTCTCCCTCATCTTACAATGCTTTGGGCGCCATGCTGTCTTCTGGTGACACTGTCAAGAAGCCACCATCTGCTTCCACCCTAGTAGCATATCTTATCTTACCTCCACACACCCCACCCCCCCCACCCCCCAGCCCCAATCTGCAAAGGCAAAGCTTTAAGCTGGCCTACACTCAGGCTGTTCAAATGGATTGATTCCTCATTGTAGCTCCCGTCCCAGGAGCAGTGCCCATCTTAAAATGCTAAGTACTCAATGAATGTTTGCTGAATGGATGAATGACGCTGAAACCCCTTCGATGACGAATTTGCAATCTAACCAGGTCAGTTACTGTTGTACCTTTCCAGGCGGCTGTAAACTTGGGTTCTGGGAGACACCCTTGTAGTCAGTGGTGACCTGGGCGCATGGAAGGAGAAGTCTGGCCTATTGAATGGAGCCACCTGTGTGGAAACAAACTTCTAGCTCTACTTCTGTTCACGTGTAGCCTTGTCAAAGTTATTTAACGTCTTCAAATTTCAGCGTTTCACCCCAAAAAAGTAAGGATAAGAATGTGTAGCTCAGTTGGTTACAGTGTCGTCCTGTACAACAAAAGGTCTCATGTTTGAATCCCAGTTGGGACACAGGCCCAGATTTTGGGTTCAATTCTCCGGTCAGGGTGCGTATGGAAGGCAACTGATTGATGTTTTTCTCTTCTCCTTCTCTCTCTCTCTCTCTCTCTTCACTTTCCCCTCTCTCTAAAAATCAATGAGTATGTCTCCTTGGGTGAGATTAGAAAATAAAAGGATATGCAGAAGTATATGGTTATTTTTCCAAGTGTATAAGTTGTGAAAGTAAGTACAATATTTTAACCTAAGTTAATGGGTATTAAGGAAAGAGTCATGGTTTAGGATTCAAAGTCTAGAGACCTGGTTCAGACATAGATGTGACCTTGGCAGCAGATTTAGCCTTCCTGGCCTCAGTTTCCACATCTATAAAATGGCCCCTAAGAGCATTACAGCTCCAAATTTGTAGTATTACCATTAATACCTCTATTATTAGTGGTATGCCTGTATTCAAATTTTGTCTCTAGTATGCAAGTTTCTTGAATCAGATATCTGCAAGGAAAAGTACCACCCGTATCAATTAAGATTCTTTTGGTTGAGAGTTATAAAAATCTATTCAAACCAGCAATGGGAAATTAATTCTAAAGCTACAGGGGTGTTTCCCAGAACCCAAGGGCAGAAATGCAGAAATGTACTGTGGCCAGGAAGTACAAGGCTGTGGGGAAACCAGGCAAGTCTCTTTCTGCCTTACTCTCAACTCCCCTCCTGACTCTGAGCATGTGAATCATTTCTCTCCACACCAGCTCCTGCTTCGCAAGTGCACATACCAGAGAACAGGGCTTCCACTAGAACCCAAGTTTGCTGCCACCAGGAGAAACTCGGAATCTCTGTTGTTGTTTTTGAATATGTTTTTATTGATTTCAGAGAGGAAGGGAGAGAGAGATAGAAACATCAATGATAAGAGAGACTCATTGATTGGCTGCTTCCTGCATGCCCCCTACTGGGCCTCAACCTGGGCATGTGCCCTGACCTTTGACCTCCTGGTTCATAGGTCAATGCTCAACCACTGAGCCATGCCACCAGGTTGAATCTCTGATTTGCTTTCATTCCTAAAGTCATAGAAAGGAATCCCTGTTAGGCCACCTTGGACCAGGTGTTCACTGATGGCCCACATTGTACTTATATGGTGGCCCCAATCCACCATGGAATAGGGCAGAATAGTCTCCAGAGAATCGCTGTTTTGGAAGACAATCCAATAGGTATCTGCCTCAACTACTTCCCAGGGTGGGCAAGGCTCATGATAGTCACGTGCTAGTTCTTACTTTCG